TGTCGCCTTACATTTCATTCGAAAGAGCAGACATTATTTACAGATATGGCTGAAGTGTTAGTTGAAAGGTCTCTTCCGGAAGAGATATTCCAGGCATCAGTATACGACGTCGCCGCTATGAAAATATCCTGCGGCGTGGCGTGAGGCGACCTTTCTTCTTTCTCCATTTGCCCCTTCCCTTGAGGGGATGAAACGGACCGCCACACCGCTCAACCCGCGATGACACTTCTCTACGTGTACACGCTAATGCGCCCTATTTTGCAGAGCGACAGTTACAAATTATTCTTTTTAAATACGCGCCGGCAATACCTACTCGAATACGGTCTTTTAACCAATGGCGTAACATCAAGTTAATCACACATTACCAGAAAGAAAGCCTATCACAAGTTATAAGACGTAAGGTGACTCTAGTATCACAGAGGGGAATCTCAGAAGAACAAAGTGCGTTAGTACACCTATAGCAAACAGCCAGATTAAGGCCAACTCATCTATGTAAGTGAGGCTTGATCTTATTTATCAAGCAAGTGTCATCGATTAGTCGGATAGCCTTCCTCTGAACCACATCAGGTATGGATTCACAGCAACAAAACCCTGAGTACATTATTGGCATTCAAGAAACATGATTCTAACTAAATTTTAACCGTTGAAGCTAATTTAAATACCTCTAAAACGTTTTACGTTCAGAAGTTGCCTTTACCATGACCTTCCATAACCTCCAAGGTCAAATTACAACTTTTACAACAAAGAATAGTAAGGTTTTGACGCCTTAGATGGAACAAGGGGAAAAGCTTACATCCGCAAATGACCTTGACCATGTCTCTGATATCGAGCTTCAATTTATATTTCTATGAAACCTTGAAATTGGTTAGCCTCTAAATGACTTTGAAATCATAGTCAATTACATAGTCAATATCATGAATAAGGTCAAGGTTGTGGCAAGGAGTCATGATCAAGATCGTGGTAAAAGTCACTGTCAAGGTTATGGTCAGGTTCATTGCCAAGATTATGGTCAGGATCATTTCGGAACGTAAAGTTTCCCTCTCTTTTCCACTGGTGGGCTCAAAAAGATACGGTTTCACCTCAAACTTTCATGTTGGCCTTCAAAGTCTTATTTTCATAAATTTTTGTTTGAGCAGTAGATTTTGAGAGAGAAACGGGACAGGAATCTTATTGTCCCGCCGTACTAACTCTGACGCCTGATTCTAAATGACTTCTACACCAAAATTATCATGACAATGTCAAAATTATGATAGCGGAACGCTCTCCAACTCATTCGCAAAGCTCTTATGTGAAGTAATGTTATCCATGAAACTGTGTATCATTAATACGGAATAGAAACCATTGAGTTAAAGCCTATCCCTGTGGATCACCTACAAAGACGTGAAAGCATTCAGACAAACACAGTGAAAGCTGGTTTCTTGCTTACCGGCAACGAGCGCCGATCGGTACCGAATTTTGGCGCTGGTCATGAACACAGTGCTGACAAGAAAAAAGCAAATAAAACCAGCCTGTTGTCAGTTCCAGCGTAGTCTTCGAGTCAACATGGGGTCTAGCTCATCTGAAGATGAATTTATTGCATTGGACAGCTCTGAAACTAAAATAATCACTAGCATAAATCGTGAGAGGGTACATTATGGTGAATATCATGATTTGTTCGAGGCGTTGAAAGATGACCCCGACCGCTTGTTTCAGTATTTCGTCCCAACATTTGTCAACTACGTTTCTCTTACTGTGTTGCTTATTATTTTATTACATATGGGGCATTGTTTGTATACTGATGCGGTTAACTTGTCTATATCCAGTATCCACATCAACCGATCTGACAACCGGCAAGAAATACCTAAATAATCATTCCGGCTAAGCCGGAAACGCCGACTGCCTGCGCCGACAAGCCTGAGCCTGCCTTGTGTTATTGTGTTATTTCCAGCATAAGAGCATGATTTTGAATGAACCAACTCACATAACTCAAATATCCAGCTCATTAATTGATGTTATTTTATGCAACGATCTTTCAATAACACACACGTCTAATATCGGTGGGCTGGATTTGACCAATCACGAATTAATTTCATGTCAGGTATACAAGTCTGAGCCTAAACCTGAACCATTCTACTGTACTTATCGTAGTTTTAAGCATTTTAATGAGCATGAGTTCTACAGTGACCTACAAAAGCTCCCTCTGATAGATCTTTGCTGTGCTTCTGACATCGATGAAAAAATGCTTTTGTTCAACAGCATGATCCTTCAGCTATTTGACAAACACATGCCTCTTAAAACATCCAAAATTAGCAAAAATAAGGCTTAGCAATAACATAAGGAAACTAATGAGAGATAGAGACAAAGCTAGGTCAAAATTCCGGAAGAATCCCTCTGCGCAGACAGCTCAAAAACAAAACTAATCATGCCATATTACAAGAAAAAAAGAAATATTTCTCACAATTGGCTCAGAATAGAAACAGTAAAGTACTATGGAAAGAACTAAGATCATTATATATAAAATCAAATAATCCTGGTATACCCTCACAGCTGCAAAGTGCTGATAATATCAACGACTTCTTCTTAGACAATAGTCCACAACAAATCAATAGTAATGAGGATTTAGTTACACACTACAACAATAATGTCATATGCTATGATAAATTTGATTTTTCCTGGTCTCCGAGGAACAAATTCTGCAAGCCCTCTGTCGGATAAAAAATACCTCGCCAAGAAGTGACGGAATTTCAGTCCGTTTACTTAAAATGCGTATTCCAATCATATTGCCTTTTCTCGTCCACATTACTAATAGCATTATTTTAGACGTTAAATAGCCCACCTCCTGGAAAACAGCTCTAATAACTCCAATCCCTAAGGGTAAAGATGTCAAACAACTTGCAGATCTTCGCCCTATCAGTATCTTACCTGGCCTTTCAAAGTTAGTGGAAAAAATAATAGAATTACAGCTACGTGACCACATAACCAGAAACAAAATTTTACCTAGTACTCAGGTCAGGTTTTGGTCAAGATTATAGCTGCACTACAGCCTTGACACACATTACAGACGATATTATAACAGCTAATGACAACAGTAACTGTACTACACTAGTTTTGTTAGATTATAGCAAAGCATTTGATACTATAAAACATGACGTTCTGATTGCAATACTTGAATCATGTGGGGTATCAGGTCATAATAAATCGTTATTAGAATCTTACCTTAGCAATAGAATGCAACGTGTGAAGATCAATAATAATCTCTCGCGAGTAAGGACAATAAATCAACGGGTGCCGCACGGTTCGATACTCGGACCGCTGTTATTCACGCTATATACTAGTCAGCTCTCCAAATCCCTTGAATACTGTAAGCCTCACATGTATGCAGATGATACTCAAGTGTGCCTTTCATTCCATGGTGATGATTGGCCTTTTGGCGGAGTTTAAAATTAATGCTGATCTTGACGCTCTTTTTAAAACCTCTAATTATCATTCAATGTCACTGAATCCAAAAAAATCAGCAGCAATAATTTTTGGGAAAGATCGGTTAGAGATAATGAACAATATGATGCCAGATATAGATAATGTTCTAATACCGTACTGCGATTCTGTGAAAAATTTGGGTCTCATAATAGATTTTAAGTTCAGATTTAAAGAGCATATTTCAAAATGGATACAAAGAGCGTACTATGCACTCAAGCTGCTTCGCTCTCATAGACACTTTCTTCGCAGAGACATCAAACGAATGCTATGCGAAACGTTGGTTTTGTCCCAGTTTTCGTATGGTGCTCCTGCCTATTATCCATGCTTGGATGCTGATACGATATCTAGAATTCAGCGTGTTCAAAATTCATGTATAAGGTACATTTTTGGTATAAGGAAATATGACAGAGTTATTTATATGCTGAAGGATTTACAGTGGTTGAACATGAAACAGCGTTCAGAACTATTAACTCTATGTTTCTACAATAATATCTTGTCGAGCAAGTCACCGCCATATTTGTATGAAAAAGTCATGTTTAGAGAAAGTCTTCATTCTGTCAATGTTCGTTCGAAACAGAATATTTCTGCTCCATTCCATCGAGCATGTTTTTTCAAACGTGGCTTCTCTTACAATATCTATAAATTATACAACTCCATCCCCCAGCAAATCAAAAATATGAAAGGTTGCAAATTCAAGGTAGCTCTGAGACGATTCCTTTTGGATAAGTATGATTGATTTCACTGATAATACTGTAACATTTAGCTTTTTTGGATGAATCTCATGATTATATAATGGAATATTTTCAGTTTTATATTTTCAGTGTTATTTGTTTTTTGTACTCATGCTTTTTTTTCTGCTCTCCTATAGTTAGTAGTAGCCATGTAACAGTTGTTATCACTATTTTAAAATAGAGCAAGTGATGAGTGGAAGAGCACGTAGGTCGTGAACTCCTCCTTGAGATTCGAGAGCAATTATTCCTTTTTGTTGAACACTATTTTTGTATGCATTGTCTCTTCGAATAAAGCCATTTATTATATTATTATAGAAGCTTATAGGCGCCGATCGATGCTGGTTGCCGGTAAGCGGGAAACCGGCCTCCACTGTGTTTTCGCCTTAAGGCGATCCAGCTGAAAAGCGCTTTTATGCAGTAACCAAGGGGTAGCTTTGTCAGTTTGACAGCAGATTTAACTTGGCTGTCACCTTAGATAGTATGTTGGTTAATATTACAAACTGTCAAAGCTCGTCCACAGCTACTGTTATTCAACATAAAGCGCCGCACTGCTCGACTACCTGTACTTCACATTAGGTGAACGGCCCCAATGATAAGAGGAGTAAAAGATGTGTAAAGCAACCGTGTCGGACCTTATGACGCATACTTACCAAGAGAGTAGGTAATTAAGGTTTGTAGTATTAAAAACTGTACCCATCAGGCTTAACGGCACGGGTATTACGTAACTTTAAAAGTGGCATTATACCGATTTTTTTTGACATTATGCAAGTTTTTCGCCAAGACGACTTACTAGTACTAGCGATTCACACTAGTCGCGAACTCGTTTGAGTTGTAGGTGTTGCCTAAACGTCATGATCTGTTAGTTTGGCTATGATGTTTTTTGTGATTTGTGTTTAAGTTCGTGCAGTAAAAGCCAAAGGGGCTTCGCATGATTTAGTGCAAGAGATTTCTGAATTACACCATTATGGATTTATTTTGAATGGTAAATGTAATGTTTTTCAGCATATGTGATTCTACTAATGAATCAAATATCTTTGGTATCAATCGTCGTACAGGGTTATTCACCTACACAAGTTGTAGAAGAGAATTTACTGTATTTTAACACAACGGTGAACCTATTGTATGTACCAGGATGTAATTACTCACAGTATAAAACGAAACAATTTCAAAAGTTATTGGTTCATTATTTGTTCCATACATGCAGACTCCTTTATGTTGGTATACCACAAAATTATCAAAATGAGTAATTTTGGAATCATAGGGCTTATGGGTAAAACCTACACTTAAATTAAGTAATTTCTAACAGAACCTCTTGAATGTGTAAATTCATTTTTGTCGAAATATTTTCTCCACTATAATTGTTGATCACATTCACCTTATTTTTCTTGGAAATAAAAGTGTATCAGTTACTTGAAATAATTACAAAAACATATCGAGTGTAGACTATAATCACAAAGTATTTTATAAACTAATTTCATGCCAACGTTGAAAGAATCTGTTTCACTTTTAATTTATCTGCTCATTTTGTGCTGAACGTGCATTATTTGATTGTAAAACAAAGAGCGTCCAAAGATGGTTTTCTTGAGATGAATGAATAAGAGTAATTTTCATTTTCACTTGAAGCATTATAGTATATGCTCTGGTTGTAGGGTTGAAAATGAAGGTCAAAGAAAATGGTGATTTGAGTAATTATTGTCTTGATAAAAGAAGATGTAGTAGAATGTTGGTAGAGGAATGAAATCTTTGAAGTTAATAGATTAGGATTAGGATGATCCTGATGAATATACTGGGTAATATATAAAGTATGTTCATTGGGTGGCAATGGTTAGCAATCATATCTTCAGTAGTATTTAGGATTGTAACAATTTGGAAATTTAGAGTTTGGATATTTGCTGCAACTGAACTATTTTTTTTTCAGGAGATTTAAATATTGCCAAAAGAAAAACGGAGAAAGCCAAAACTACCAGATATCTAATCTGCAAATTAAAATATATATCAAAGGAAAATGATTAGAAAGAATCCAAAATATGATATCAGTACCACGGAGACTTTCGAATCTGATGTAAAATGCACAGTTTTCTCTGCATTTCAGGTGAACATTTTTTAAGATATTGAACGAATTGTCTAAAGCTATTTCAAATGGATTGCCTCAGATGATTGATTCATTTTTTAAAGTGATCTTCATACTTTCGATATAGATTTATTGTGGTTGCTTATAATATTACATGTAAATGGTCTGTGTCTGTCAGTTATGAAGTATGAACTATTAGATACCAAACTTCAAGCCCCAGGGTTGCGGTGTTTTAACTGTTGTAGTGCTAATACAGTCATTAGAAACACTGTGCACCTCTAGCACATTCAAAAGAAATATATAGTCAATCAAATTTGCTGTACCAATAAATGCCACCTAAATCAGGTAATCAGAGCACTAAATTTGAGGCCAATAGAATGATAGCATTTTATTAGCTACTTTAAGAATCTTTGCAGCCATATCTCAAATATAGTCACTTAGGCCAGTCTGATAATGTCTCCACATAAAGATGATTCATTCTTTTTGTGGAACTTTGTACCAATTTGTACCATTCAATTGTACAATCTTCAAAAAAAAAAGTTTGCGAGGGGACGAAATATTGAGGTTGCTATCACAATCCACCATAGATTAACAGCCATAGAGAAAAAAGAACTTTCAATAAATCATTGTTTAATAGCTTCATCAGGATTTTCTCCAAAAAAAAAACATTTCAGGAAGATGGAAATACGATTTTGTAGTACTTATCAAACACTAAGATTCAATCACATCAAGATTGATATATCACGATGAATAACTTCTAAAATCCTAATATGGCAATGAATTCTCTATACAGTTAACACTAGTTTAAACCAATATAAGGAAATCAACAATTCACTGCCACTGTCTTCCAAGGAAAAATTTGAAAGTTTTGATGAAGAATGGCTAGATTGAAAAGTAATTACAATGTACTGGTTCTAAATTTAAATTGCTAATATCTTGTATGAAATATAGTAAATAAGCGTGTAGAAAAAGTTTTAAAATTAATATTTGAAATTGGTTTTCTCTTATTAGGTGTCAGAATTCAGGAGGATTAGCAATGAGTTATTCTTGGGATGGTCATAAACAATAGCTGCAATCCAAAAAACTACTCCTAGCCAGATGTGCATTTAGGTACGTAGGTATTAACAATTTTCATTTCACAGCTTCTACAACTATATTGTACCTAGGGTTACCAGCTACCCTGGATTGTATTGGGAGTTCTGAACTTGAGGCAGGAATTTAGGCGTAGGACATTTAGTAGACTCACTTTCATAAAAAAAATATTGAAATTACAAATTGCTCTTAACGTTTTTAATCCGGTATGGCTACTTACTGGATGAAATAACTATTTGTCCTTCATGTTGCAACTTCTGATGTGACAGCTGAAATTTTCATCTTGATCGACCATATCAAAGCAGGGCTACACTATGGGTGCAAAAAATGTATGGAAAATAAACAGTGGTCGGAAACTGTTGGGTCTGATAAAAAATATCTGGTCTTCTGTTGTATGCATTGTCAAAAAATAACTCCTTTTGTATATGAATTGTGCATTAGTCTAATAAAAAATGTCCTTCATATGCTGCTCCTCCCCTTGGAAATCGACATTCTGCAATTTTCAATCTAAACCTGGCAACCCTAAATGTGTGTCAATTGTTTACCAATAACTCTATGTTTTTAGACGCCACCATATTCCTTCATGTTGGAGTATAGAAGGATTGGCATCATTAAGCGATGGTTAATCAGAGCCAAGGAGAGGTCAAAGAAATCAAGAGCTCCATTTGTAGTTATAAAAAGTTACATATTATAAAAATATATGTATATTACTTATATACGAGTATATAATATACTCATGTTCATAAGTATTGACACCTGGTGCTTTTGTTCCAATATGTGTAATTAGACAGCTCTTGAAGCTAACTTAAAAAATGTTTAGTCATTACATTGACATAATCTCATTAACTTTTAAATATAAAATGCATTATTAATTAAACTACCGCTTTAATGCCTTCAGGAACGTCTACAGGCAAATGAATGAAGAAAATACCAATATAGGTGGGTGACACCAAAGCCCGTTCCATTTTTATGGCTTAAGAGATACCAACTGCGTCGATTTTCGAATTTTGATCTAAAAATTGTTTATTTGGTGGAAAAGGCTTCCTATGGATTGTCTCCCACGTGGCAAAATTATTACTTGCAGAGTCCTTGTGATTTCGTTACACACACTCTTTAAAATCACTGACAATTTTCAAGAGGGCGCGAGAATTTATAAACTATCCCAGAGGTCGCGTATTCATGAAGGTCGACAAGTTGTATAATTTTTTTGTAGAAACGTAGTCAATTACGTATGAAACGGATCTGTTGGCTACTTTCTAGTAGGTCCGCATTTCAGGCGGCTCATTGGAGTTCCGCTTCGCCGGCAGCAATCGAAATGTTTCTAAATCAAATAATGTAATATGTATGCTTTTTACTTTTAATTTATTTTTTTAAAATAAAATGAATACTTTTTGAATCATTTTTCATTCCCATAATGTGCATCTAACATTTCAAGAACATCAGTAACATATCTGGGAAGTGTGAGGGAGCTCCTGCTAAAAATATGTTTCTCTATGCATGAGAATATCCCATTAATGATATGTTACAAACTTGCAACCAACCCAAAAAATGTTGGGGAATGTTATAAGTACATATACTGTGTATGCAATCTATGTAAACTACACGAATTTGCAGCCAAAAATGACCTGTAAGGTCATATTTGACTTAATTGATTTACTGCTTTTTTGACATCCTTAAACTTTGCTGATGGATTTGAGTGAATAGTATTGGATAGAAATCAAAGTTTGTTTTTCTAGTTGACGATTGCATGTGCTGATAAAAGACAAAAATGATTTCATTAGACATTTTTTTCGTGGAAAATACATAAGAATCATTCATCATCAAATACAGGAAAATCTACATATTGATAATAGAGATATGTGTTATTTATGGATACAGCTTCCAAAAAAAACTAGTTATTGGAATAATTGCCAGAACTGAAGATTTTTAGAATGGTTAATCTAGATATACTGAAAACAACTATTATGAAATATTGTATTATAAAAGAATTTAACCAGCATTTTATTTAATATATTTGACAAGTGGATCCTCTCTGTTGACTGGTGGTTTGAAATTATTTGGAAAAGGGGCAACACCCTCCAATACTCCCCTATTGAGCGAGTCCGTGGCAAGTGCTTGTACCCGAAGTTGTTGAATTCAGTATATAACTTCTGTGCGTCCAAGTGATTGTACACGCGTTAAGGAATACGTCTGTACCGATACGACTGCCCCTTGGTCCCGATGGTGTCGAGATTGTGGAACAATCTACAAGAAGAAGTTTCTCCCAGTTGTACCAACCTTAGGCAGTTCAAAAATCGGATTAGCAAAATGTCTTTGTGGTTCTCATAGTAGCCGTGTGTGGTAGTTCGCAGTAAAGAAATTCCATGAAACAGGGAGTTATTAAAATGTATCATTTATCTGAAAAGATTGATCAAGCAGCTGGCAAGATAAAAGGAATTGTGAAGAAAACTATAAAACGGTTCACATAAAACTACATATTTATGACAGCTTGAAAATAAGAAAACAACAGCATTAATAGAATATATTTTATTTATTCTATAGAATTTCTCATAAGACTTCCTAATATATAATAAACTCACATTCTTCTTTCCATCAATAAAATCAATCATTTAAATATCTGGATATATAGGTATGTGGATAATAAACTACTGTTTCACGAGCAATATGTATACATTATTTCAAAAATATCAAAAAAGATAAATTACTTCTATAGAGTTTCCCATAATCTTAGTATGTATTCAAAAAAAAGTGTATAACACCATCATTCTTCCACATATTTTATATTGTTCAACTATTTTGTTCACAGTAAATCAAATCATATTTTCAAATTTACAAATTTTACAACATAAAGCTATGGGAATCATTTTAAATAAGAACAAATATGCTAGGATTTAGTCTGTTAGAAGAACTACAGTGGTTGAATGTAAAAAATTTCATATACTATTTAGTTCTCATTATCATATTCAAATTGAACAACCATTTATTACCACTACGTTTAAAAAACTTCACAAAATTAAATAGTTATTATTATAACTACGAAAATAGAGGCAGTATAGGTCTTTATCTGCAAAACTGTAATAGTAGCATAACTAGCAGATCTGTATTTCAAAAGGCAGTATTTGAATTTCATAAATTGAATAATTATTATATTAACAGTTTTCGAATTTAAAAATGTTCAAGGTGAAACTAAACAATCAATTTATGAGTACTCAAAATGCATAGTGATGTAATTTTAATAGACAAGAATGAAACATTACAGAAAATGGATTCAAAAAAATGTGTAAACGGATAATTATACAGAATTGATATTACATGGTGCAATGATGCAATTTTATTTTCTAACATAAGTGTATGGATGCCAAATTTTTGTTTGTGGCTTTTAGAAAGTGTGGTGTAGGCTATGAAATTTTTCCTACAATTTGGTGACAACAATGATAAGTTCAAATTGGTTGGTGTGTTTCATTTAAAAAAGCGTTTGTAGGGAATTAAATTCATCACTTTTCTTTTATAAACCTTGTCATACAGTGAATATGTCCAGAAAATTAAGGGTAAATATGACAAGAAAATTAAGGGTAAAGTTACATTTAAGGCCATTTTTGTTTATGATGGTTAAACTAACAGCTCAAGCGCTTAAAAGATTCTTATCCATTTATGTAGAGAATTAAGTGATTCTTCAAGTGTATGGAGTAAAAGTCAAGAATTTATAATAAATTGTCGCGCGGCATACTCAGCACTGAACGCACGTTGCCCACGTGACAGTATACATGTTTTCACGTGGGGATAACTCTACAAATTATTATCGATGTTTTACTCAGACGCATGAGTATGGAAAATCTGATATTTCCGGATACTTTATGATGTAAATGCAAGTCGCTCACTTCTAACAGACTCTTTATGGGCCATTTTGTCTCGGTACACTCAGCAACCGTTGCAACGATTTTAGTGGAAAGGGAGTAAAGCAATAAACTAGTATTATCTACTCCATCTCCTCTTCCATTGAAATCGGTGAAATTAGTCAGTGACAAAATCGCCAATACACCGACTGATGGATGTTAGTGACTTGATCTTCATAATGAAAAAAATCAGAAATTATCAAAAAATATTAATTTTCCATGCTTGCACGTGGTAGTATTCTTGGTTATGGGTAATGATTACGCAGTCATTTCATGCGAAATAATGTTACATGCCGAATAAGTGGACCACGTACATATGTAGCGCCAGGACTATCTCGTGCGACTGCTCTGTTACGATTTTTCAAAATTCCCTCCTTATACTTTAAGAACCACCAAAATGTCGAAAAAGCTTAAGTGATCTTTTTTGTACCAAATCTTATTCTTTACAAAACGTACCAGTTAGGTTCTTAGTTTAGCCATTAAAACCGAAAATATCATTACATGTACTTTAACCCTTAATTATCTTGTAACCTGTTCACCAATACAAGTTTTTATAAAATCAAAATGATGGACCATTTAATTAGCCCCAAAATCGTTTCTATATTACCTTTTTACATAGGATCGATTGTATTCGATATTTTCAATTAAACGCGTTTATCAAAATGACGGCAAATACTCCAGCCCTGTCATGATGCCAATTTCAACTTGTCATTAGGAAAGCAATAGTGTAACGATATCACTAAAAAGTTACCGTCGCCCAAACTGTAAAATTTCCTTATACAGAATCTCCCTATTTATTGGCATAGACTGTCAAAACATTAACAACTTCATGTTCCCCAAAACAGAAAATGACTTTCCTGGAGAAACGTTTAGCAAATGTAATAACTAGATCATACACAATACCATGTCATTGACTAAACATTTTTCAATTTTGTAGACATGGTTTTTGAGCATTCTTTCTGACAAAAAAAGGGCGCCCATTGGAAATGGTCTTATGTGAATGAATTTTGTATATAGTTAGAAGTAAGCAAGAGGAAACGTGACAAAATTTTTAGGTAAAAAAATTAACTGTATCGCTAGAATCCGCTAATAATGTCTTGAACCAACTTAGTGCCATATTCATTCTCGTACAGTTATCGTAGCGTGCTTCTGATGAGGTACTTCATACCAAACTCAATGCGAAGTGTTGCTAATGTTGGTAGAGGATAAGGTAAAGAGGTCTCTCTTCTTCCCGTCATACCCCACGGATGTTCATTTGACGAATGGTGCCAAGAGTTGATGATGATTTGGCTGTTATTGAGGTACCATACTTTAGCTGTACTCTAGAATTACTCCTAGAGTGGCAATGATCTATTCCATATAACTTCCTGGCAGTTGGAGTCGATTGCAGCTCTTTGCGTACATCTCTGTGATGTAATATTCTCAGCGCAGGTCTTGAGGAAACCTAAAATCAAATGTAATATATCAGTTAAGAATGAAGTCAAATAGATTGGCTTGGATGGATGCGAAGTTGGCAGACAAAATGTTGCAGACAATTTGCCGAAGATACCCGAATGATTACTGGGGTCGACATCTTAAAACAGTCTCTGATTGAGAAAAATACAGAGCTGAGGGCCTGCAGCAATAAATACATATTAGCCATAAAGAAATATTCAATCGACGAGGATAAGCACACTCATAGGGAAAATCATTTTCCACCCCAACTAAATAATTCGAAAGGTTAAAACCTATCCCAAAATATTTCTTCCAATCAAATTACTTATAGATTATTGTATATTATATGGTATTGAGGTAATTATTGAGCTAAAACGCATACAGTGAGCAGATCAAAAATATAAATTAGAGTTCATTTTCACCTTGAAATTTTGTGAATCGAGGA